GATGACCGTCTTGACAGCTGCAGGGCACAACAGGCTTCTAAATGGTGGGACCGCGACAGTCCAGGCAGGACAGCAAGTCGGCGTGCCATTTATTGATGCCGGATATACACGAATATGTTTGCTGAGAGTTGTAGTCATCTTTCCATTTTTAATGAGATAAATGTGGTCATGTATGCACTTCCAGAATGGCCTCTTGTTTTTTCCTATGTAAAGTAAAAGGCATTGCAACAGCAACTTATAAAGGATGCAACACCTACTGTTTGACAATTAATTTTATTAAAAATTTTGTAGCTGTGGTTCTGCATCTGAGACTTGGCACCATTAAAAGTCCCACCCTTCTCTTTTCTTTGTGTTTATATTGTTACTTGGGGATGTGGTGCAAATCGTACTAAATTACATTCTTGTGAGATTATCATAAGGGATCTAGCAAGCAATTTATGCAATAGCTTTGGGCAGGTGACATATACTGTTTATGGAGATCAGGTGTCTGTTAGACCCCCAATGTCCCCCCTGCCTTCCAATGCAGCTTGTGCTTGATTAGTTGCTTCCCTGGCTGTAAATCCAGGATATGACAGCTCTGAAACTGGAAGTGACTAAATCATAATTGCATCTGGCTTCACTGATCAGAGGGTACCAGGGAATGGATGTCCTCCATTCCCCTTGTGTGAAGCGACCCCGGCGGTGGGGAGGGGGTGAAACAGCTCTTCTCAATACCATAAAATAATCAGGCATCTTTAGAACCATCCAGAATTTTTTTTCGATCACAGAGTATGTAAACAATTTTTTAACACCAAGCTCATGGCTGCAACTGCAACCACTTGCTGCCAGGATTTACAGTATATCTACATACAGTAAGCAGAAAGTTCTTAAGTGCTTGTGTTAAAAGGTGGAGCAGAATAGAGGCATAACACGTTACTTTAGTAAACTATGTTGAACTAGGCTGCTTTCACACTGGTCCTTTGCAAAAACGGAACAAAAACGCACATGTATTTGCCGCAGTTTTGCTGCGGTGTGTTACGTTTTTGCTGTGTTGCATTGTATTTTTTAATGCGTTTTTGCCACATTTGCATTGCATTTTTCCCATGGACGTGATTGGACAAAGCACTTCCTGCAGATGCTTTGCCTTTGCCTTTTTGATGTGTTTTTGATGCACTTCCATCATTTCAGCGGGGAAGTGTGTTTTTGATGCTTTTTTTTTTTTTTTTTTTTTAACTGAACAACCATGACCAAAAATGCAGCAGTTAGTACTGTCCTACAACTGATCAGTGTGAAAAATGTCATAGTATGTCATAGTATCTACTGAACAAAAACTGATCAGTGTGAAAGCAGCCTTAGACCTGGTTCACACTAAATGTGATATTGAAATCGCGCTACTTCACTTGACTGTAAACTTAGATATCCTGTCTGCAATGTGTATCAAATCTTCCATTTCCTCCATGGTTTTGATCTTACAAAACCACTCCTTTGTTGTGGGAAAGATTTTGGAATGCCAGTGGTAAGCTATACATTGTTTAGCTGCCTTGACCATGAATAGTGCTAAGGATTTATTATAGACTTTCTTGGGCAAGGTGGAATGATGCAGTAAAAATTGTGCTGAGCTGAAATCAAGTTTATAAGATGTAACTGTCTGAATGGTACCATTAACCTGTTGCCAAAAGGAGAGAGAAGATTGGGACATGTCCACCATATATGGGGCATTGTACCCACGTCCTTGTTGCAATGCCAACAAAGGTTTGAAACCGAAGGGTGAAACTTATGAAGTAATTGTGGTGTACGATACCAATGCGATAGCACCTTATATCCATTTTCTTGTGTAGCTACATTTAATGAAAATTTATGAATTGGGGTGCCTATATTCTCCCATTCCTCATAAGTGAAGGTTTGGTTCAATTCAAGTGCCCTAGCCTTGCAGGCTGAAGTTGTAAAAGCAGAAGTGGTGTCACGTAATATTGTGTAAAGTGTGGAGATAAAATGGCTCTGAGGTCGTTCATGAGAGCATATGGTCTCCAATTCCTTCAAAGGTCCTGACCAAATGACATTAAAAAAAAAAGGGAAATTTGAAGAGAAGTCCAATGTTGGGATTTCATGTAATAAGGGCTTCCATAGTCATAAGGGTCCCTCTTTGGAAAATGTGTCATTACCTAGACCAGAAACAAACAGGGAGATTACTTTTTTTTTTTTTTCAGCGTAGTGATGTTTTTTCTTTATATTTCCCCAGCAAGGGAGGGTGTGTCAGTGTCCTACGCAGAGTAGGTCCCAAAACTGGCTGTCCAGCATTGGTGCCTAAATCATAAACAGGCTAGAGAAAAGTAAACCATTTTTTAACTGTGCTTAAGCTGCTCATCTGGAGATCAGCATTAAATGGTATGTATTGTCAAAACTTTTTTTTTTTTTTTTGATAGAGTAAGGAAGGGTTACACTCTCTCAGATTACCCCCTTAAAGTGGAACTCTCTCATTCAACATTGACTATTTTTAATCCTCATGCTGCTAGCCATCAGTAAATGGTTAGGAATGTATATCATATTTACGGTACTTATTTTAATTAATTTATTTTTTTACATTTCTTCAGTTTCTTCCTGGTTTCCATGTCAAGGCAAATGATGTCATACATCCCAGCAGTCTTCAGGAGGGGAGGGAGGGTTCCCAGCTCAGTCAATGCCTGAGCTAAGGGCAGATGGATTCCAGTAAGTAAATACCACATGAATCATCTGCCCTTATTCAAGATTGTCACTGCCAGAAATGCCAGGTGTTTTTCAAAATGATTTCTCAGCAAAATAAAGAATGGAGACATGGATGGATGAAGGAGTTTTCTTTGAATATTAACCATTTGCCGCCCGCCCTATGGCCGAATGGCGGCCGACAAATGTCATCAGTATTCCGGGTGGACCCCATATGGCGTCCTCCCGCACATGCGCAGATTGCGCTCCTGCAGAGCCGCGCAGCGGCACGATCTGTCACCGACCGTGTGCCTCGGACACGGCCGATGACAGATCTGAGTATCAGCCCCCGTTGCCGGTACCATGTGACCTGCTGTGACCAATCACAGCAGGTCACATGACAGTTGTATACAATGGATGGCTTCATTCATGCCATCCATTGTATACTAGTGTCTAGCTCTGAATGGTCACAGCTAATCACGTGCACATGTCATGTGATTAGCTGTGGCCAAATCACAGCTAAGTGCAAAAAAAAAAACCCTGAATGAATCGATGTCATTCAGGTAAATGCTTGCTTATAGCAAAGTAATTCTTTGCTATAAGCAAATTGTGTTAAAAAAAAAAAAAAAATACTGATCACTTCCCCAAAGTAGTACAATGTTACTATGGTAACATTGTACTACTTTGGTCATAGTGAAATATGAAAAAAAAATCTTAAAAGAAAAAAAAATTTAATAAAACCAAAAACTTTTTTGGTTTTATTAAATTAAATTTTTTTTTTTTTCATACTGTCAGTGTCCCTGATCACCGCCATGCCAGTTATATGATGATGCTGTACTGCACTGGTGACAATATGTAAAAAAAAAAATTGTGAAACTAATTTTTTTAATTTTTCAAAAAATTATGACAAAAAAAATACAACTTCAAAAAACTCATCATGCCTCTTATGAAGTACGTCGGACTGTCTACTTTGCAAAAAGGGGTCATTTGGGGGATATCTGTACTGTTCTGACATTCTTGGACCTCAAGAAATTAGATTGGCCGTCAGTACTTCAGGATTGATCAATATTCAGATCTATACCATAGTTTGTGAACTCTATAACTTTCCTACAAACTAAAAAATGCATCCTAATATGGGTTATTTTCACCAAAGACATGTAGCAGAATACATCTTGGCCTAAATTTATGAAGAACAATTATTTATTTGCAAACTTTTATAACAGAAACAAAGAAAAACTTTTTTTTTTTTTCAAAATTTTTGGTCTTTTTTTGTTAATTTAGCAAAAAATAAAAACCCCAGCGATGATTAAATACCACCAAAAGAAAGCTCTAGTTGTGTGAAGAAAATGATAACATTTTAGTTTGGGTACAATGTTGTATGACCGCGCAATTGTCATTCAAAGTGTGAGAGCGCTGAAACCTGAAAACTGGCCTGGGCAGGAAGGTGTAAAATTGCCCGGTATTGAATTGGTTAACAATTAATTAAATATCATTTTTGCTTTGTGGTACTCAGATTCAGTGAAGTTCCATTTTAACTTTCTGTCCTGGAGGCCTAACAGAAAATTAGGGGAAATGTCACCAATGAGGGCACTTCTCATCTTAGACAATTTCCATTGGATGTTTACCCTCACCTCTTGCTCTGGTGGCAACTTAAAATTTATTTGGTTTCCAGGACAAATCGAGAGGGTGAATCTACCCAGCATAATACACACAGCAATAAAACTTGACCTAGGATCTTGACACCTTACCACTCTGTCAAAACAAAGAAAAAAAAAAAGTTTTGCCTCTACATAATGTCTCTCTTACCAAGGTTGCCCACACTGTAATCACAGTTTTCAGTTTAGAATATTTGTTAAGATTACTTACATAATCCATTCAAGAGTACAGCCTGAACTCTACAGCACACACTATCACAGTTTATTCTGCAGTCTGTAACTTATAATAGCTTAAAATAGGTGTTTTGGATCAGCAAGTGCTTTCCTCCTATTATACGTAATATTTTTAAGCTGACCACTATACTTTTTATGTTTTGGCATGTGCATGTAGTTTGGGCATGTTTACAATTGATTTTAAAGTTTGTTCAAATGCAGATGTGCAATGTTGTTTTGTATGTGGTCACCGTTTCTAAAGGTAAGTTGAAATATTTCAAATGGAACATTGATCAAGACTGTTTGCAATATATTCTAGTTTTCGTATTGTACTATCTAATTTATTTGAAAAAAAAAAACTTAAATATTAGACACACAGTCTTTGGGCAATGTTTATATAACAAATACTAAGTTTTTGTCTGTTTTATTATAGCTTATTATTTCCATATACATATATGTCTCATTCATTTGTAGTTGTGGTATCCCCTCCCGTAGAGGAAAGTGACAAGATTAAACGCATCAAATCTTCTTCAGTACTTCAGTCCAGAGAGAGTCCATCTGCCTTTGCTTCACCAGTGTTGGAACAGGGTTCCTCGATTTTCCGGGAAAAATTCATCCCTCCTGAGCTCAGCATCTGGGATTACTTTATAGCCAAGGTAGCTGAAATAAAGATTGTGGTACACTGTTTTGTGTTTTTTCAGCGTTTAGTGGATGCATTTACTACCAAACTTCCCGAGATGAAAAAGAAGACAGTATATGTTTTCAACAAGAAACGTAAAATAAAGGACATTCTTTTTGTACAAAAATTCTATACCATATTACATCTGAGCAACATAAGAAGTTTAGATGCATGTATTTTGTACAGAATTATTTTACCTTTTGAATGCCATCACTGTTAATTTGATGGTGGAACACTATCATCTGAGCACAATCATGCCTTGCTTCATAGAAAGTTTAAAAAAAAAAAAAAAAGAATTTCCCTGTGCATGTTTAGGAGATATTTATTGTACCTACAGGTAAGCCTTATTTTAGGCTTACCTGTTAATACAAGTAAGCAGGTAGGCGTTACTACTACTTTAAAGGAGCAGTATGGCCAGAGTTTTAGCCATGCTTCTGCATGTCGCCGGAGTGCACTTAGTTCTGCATTCCTGTGATTCAGATCCAGCCAACAGCAGGCTAAAATCCGCTGTCGAATGATGTCAGAGTCTGTCTAGGCTCTGCAGGGATCTCAGCAAAATTGTTCGGATCCAGCCAGATGCCTGATCAGCAGCTGGCTCAGCCTCTCAGTGCACTGCTGAAAACCTGAACGAACTGCTCCCGCCCCTCCACAGTCAGATGCTCCAGTTACAGTCTGGTGACTGACGGTGACCACTCTATGCTTAGAGCGGACACGAGAACTGAGCGATAAGCGGTCTTTGAGCACTCAGTTCTCGTTGTAGAGCCGGTGGGGACAGCTGCAGCAGCCATCTACGTAGGTGAGTATAAATTGTTTTTTTTTTTGGATCCCGCACTTCTTTTAACATAAATGTGGGCTTCGGCATCTCTGTGCAGTTATTCTAGTCTTCATATTCTCTGTCCTCTTTGGAGAGCATTAGAATCCCACTAAAACATCACAAGCCTTATAGAAAGATATCATGATTTTGATCAATATTATAAGACTTTTTTTTTTTCTGCCAATGCCTTTTTTATTCCTTATTCATTTTAGGTCTGAAGGTTAGTTAAAAACCCCAAACAGCAAATTTTAGTGTCATAATAATAGAGCAACGGTTTTCAATTGCAAAATCTCAGTAAAAAGAGGACTACAGTTAATTTTAGTTCACATAGATGCAATACATTACCCAAGTTTTGATACAATATAAAAGAAAAGGTTGTGTCAACTGAATAGATATCAAACCTTTCTAACCTTAAAATTGTGTGTGCCTGTGAAACAACTATTTTTCATACCCAAAAGTTTAGATAGGCAACACTTTTAAAACCTCTGCAGGTCATTAGGTGAAAGTTAACAGTGATTGATAGTCCTAGAATTATTGCTGTCACTCCAGCATTGGTGGTGATATGTAAAGTGTAGCGCAATCAGCATTTTCTTGCATAAGTGCCTCCGACACATGTATTTGCATTCTTAAGGGGATGGAGGGTTTTTGTGCTTGGGTGTAACTTTAATTTTTTTTACACTTTTTTATTTTTTTTTTATGCAACTTTTTATCTTTTTTTTTTTTTTTTTATCACATAGTGAACCAAAAGTTGAATGACTGATCTTCGGTCCCCTTCACCCAGTGACACCCACCATATGGAACCTGTTAGGCAATGGAGGGGGTCTGTGGAAACGTACAGCTGTAGGTGCTTGTACCTGACAGCCGACAGTCAGCTTGCTAGTTCTGCATGCATTCCTGGCTGCCATATCAACTGGGAGTTTTTTTTTAAACCCCCCTCTGCTGCCGACATACAGTTGTGCTCAAAAGTTTACATATCCTGGCAGAAATTGTGAAATTTTGGCATTGATATTGAAAATGTGACTGATCATGCCAAATAATGCTCTTTTATTGAAGGATATTTTTATTGATGATCATATGAAGCCATGTATTATCAAATAGTTGTTTGGCTCCTTTTTAAATCATAATAGAAATCACCCAAATGGCCATGATCAAAAGTTTACATACCCTGGAATGTTTGGCCTTAGTACAGACAAACAAGGTGACACACACACGAGTTAAAATGCCAATTAGAGGTTAATGTTCCACATCTGTGGCTTTTTAAATTGCAATTAGTGTCAGTGTATAAATAGTCAATGAGTTTTTTAGCTCTTACATGGAAGCACTGACTGGGGATCAGAAAAGAACAGTCAAAAGTCCTGCGTAACAAAGTAATGGAACTTTATAAAGATGGAAAAGGACATAAAAAGATGTCCAAAGCCTTGAATATGCCAATCAGTACTGTTAAATCACCTATTAAGAAGTGGAATGTTCAGGGATCTCTTGATACCTAGCCAAGGTCAGGGAGACCAAGAAAGATTGCAGCCATAACTGACAGAATAATTGTCCGGGATTCAAAGAAAAACCCACAGGCAACCTAAAAAGAAATACAGGCTGCTCTGGAAAAAGATGGTGTGGTGGTTTTTAAGGAGTACAATACAGTTACACTTGAACAAAAATGAGCTGTTTGGTCGAGGTGCCAGAAAGAAGCTTTTACTGCACCAGTGCCACAAAAAAGCCTGGTTATGATATGCCTGACAACACCTTGACATGCCTAACCAGGCCTTTTTGTGTCATTGATGCAGTAAAAGCTTCTTTCTGGCACCTTGACCATGCAGCTCATTTTTGTTCCAAGTGTCATCATATTGTGCGCCTTCAAAACAACCACACTGTCTTTTTCCAGAGCATTTCTTTTGAGGTCACCTGTGGGTTTTTCTTTGAATCCTGGACAATTCTTCTGTCAGTTATGGCTGCAATCTTTCTTATGTCCTTTTCCATCTTTATAAAGTTTCATTGCCTTATTACGCAGGACTTTTGACTGTTCTTTTCTGATCCCCATGGCTCAGTATCTAGCCTAGTCAGTGCTTCCACGTAAGAGCTAAAAAAAAACTCATTGGCTATTTAAACACTGACACTAATTGCAACTTAAAAAGCCACAGATAGTGCGCAGGCCGGACGGGATGGTCCGGCACTAGCTCCGCACATCCCTGGACCCAGTGACAGCCCGTGCACGGGCACCGATCCCCCGCTGCTTCTGGGATTTCCCCGGGTGTTGCCCGGACTTTCCTTTACCGAATCTAAAGTTATCTGGGACAAGGAGGGACGGTATCTTCTTGTGCAAGGACACCTGGGGGGACATTTGATTACTTTTTTAATTTACTACACTCCAAATGCCAACCAGGTGGCATTTTTTCATTCCCTATTGAACTCTATGGCTAGCGAATTCGAAGGCGATGTCATTCTGGCTGGTGACTCTAACTTTGCTTTAGATCAGATTTTGGATCGTTCCCGAACCGCCGTGCTTCAGCCTCCTTCTAGACAAAGCAGTAAATTGGCCCAGCTATTGTATCGGTTTGACTTTGTTGATGCTTTGAGAGAGGCTAACCCAACCTCTCGAGACTATTCCCATTACTCTAGGGCTCATAATTGTTATTCTCGCATTGACCATATATTTCTTCATACACATTCACTCCCTAGACTCCTCACTGCTAAAATCCTCTCCACGCCTTGGTCCGACCATGACCCGATTTCTATAACATTGTCATCCGGGCTGCTTGGTAGGACTGCTTATTGTGGCGCCTTAATGAATCTATTTTGGGTAATTCTTCCTATTGTCAGGACATCTCCTCTCACTTACAAATGTACTTTGAACTTAATAAGTCAGAGGATATGAACCAGGCCATTAACTGGCAGCCGTAAGGCCTCGGTTAGGGGGGTTTATTATTCAGCTCTCTTCACGACTTAAAAAAGCCCGAAATGACCTTCTAGCCACCAAAACTCAAGCATATTCTGACTTGGTTGCCCAGCATAAGCAAAACCCCAGTCCGAACTTGTTGCTTAAATTGGATCAAGCCCGGCTGGAACTAAATCTTTGTCTTACTACTACGGCTGACAAACAACTACGATGGTCTAACCATAAATTTTTTACTTGGAGGGATAGACCTGGTACCTTATTGGCCCGCAAGTTGACTCCCAGACATTCTCAAACGGCCCTTCCTAAGCTCAGATTAGACGACGGCACTTTATCCCAAGATCCGGGTAAGATTCTTCGGAAATGTCACTCTTTTTACACTGAACTTTATAGTACGCCTCAGGGAGGTGCTTTTTCGTCTTTCGACTCCTTCTTGAGTTCTGTTTCTCTTCCCTGTCTCCAGGAGGCTCATAAGGAGTCGATGGAACAGCTCATTTCATGTGAAGAGATTAGGGATGCTTTGAAATCTCTTGCTCCTTATAAAACCCCAGGACCGGATGGTCTTCCTCACAATTATTACAAAGTTTTCCCTGATATCCTGGTTCCCCATATGGTTCAATATTTTAATTATCTATGGGATGGGGGACTGGTGCCCCCCGACGAAAATAAGACTTTCATTAGTGCCATCCCGAACCCCTCAAAGATGTTTCTATAGTTTCCAATTACTGGACCATCTTATTAATTAATTGTGATCTAAAGATTCTCACACTAAAATTTTGGCCTTATGCCTCCATAAATTCCTAGCACTGTATGTTCATGTTGATCAGTCAGGATTTATCAACGGTCGACAAACATCTGACCAAATTCGCCGGACTCTAGCTTTGCTGTCAGCCGTACATTCTAATTGGGACAAATCTTCACAGAGGGAAATTTTATTGAAATCGTTAGATATTCATAAAGCGTTTGACAGTCTATCGTGGGACTACCTATTTCAGATGTTAGATAGGTTTGGCCCTTCTTTCACGACCTTGCTACGGGCCCTCTCTTCTAATCCTTCGGCTCAAGTTTCCATTCGTGGTTATAAGTCAGCCTCCCTGTCGATAGGGAGTGGTACTAGACAGGTTGTCCTATCTCTCTCCACTATATTATTCCGCTCTAGCAATGGAACCGCTTGCGATCGCCATTCACTCTGATCCCACTATTTCGGTCATCCGCTGCGGTCAGCGGGATCATAAATGCGCTCTATTTGCTGATGATGTCCTTATGTACATATCTG